TTCTTTTCTTTTTTCTTTTTTTTACAATTATACATTTAGGCTTATTCTTGATTTTCTGTTACAATCACTTGTCCTAACAGTATTTGGCAAAAAAGAGTATAGGTCAAGATAATGAAACATTTAACTGATTATATTATTTACATCAACATCAAACACACTTTACAAGGTGTACTTTATTTATCTTTAAAGAGAACAACATCAGAGTCATTGCTCCAGAAGATTTCTCTGGTCTGCTGAACCTGGACACACTGGACCTGAGCAAAAACCAACTGGCTGATGATTCCTTCAGCCAAAACCCACTGTCTGTGAGTAACTCTGCTCTGTGTGCATATTATTAATCACCAACTAACACAGCTGACCGCTTCTTCCCTGTCAGTCTCAGCATTCCAGTGTAACTCTCATTCTCAGTACATTACATAAAGTTGGTTTACACCCTGCTGCTATGTTAGGGTTCAATTGAGGGATACCTGTTCTTGCTCTACCTGTTCTCTAAATTAAACTGTTATATAAATTCACAAAGAATATCTTATATCATCTAATCGCCTTACTGCAGAGCTATTCAAACCTGCAGTTCCAGACCTGAAGTACCAGCCCAGCCTGCTCTCCTTGTGTGTGTGTGCTTGTTTCTTTTTCTACTTTTACATTTATATTTATACTTGCAAAATATAATGATAACTTGAGCCTATTTTCCTATAAATACTGTCATCATGTGTCTTTTCTCCTCTAGAACTGGAAAGAAAAAGTCCTAACTAGACTTTATTTGTCTAAAAGAGAAAAAAACAAACAGTAGAGGCAGAGAGGCCAAAAGGAAAAAAAGAGAAAGACTGAGATCGAGATGCATAGCAACAACAATAACGATCCCATCAATAACAGCTATAATTGTAGAAATATGACTAATGATAATAACTATGGTGACAATTCTAACAATGATGATTACATTAATAACATCCATAATGATGATAATAATAACAATAATGTATTTGTATTTAGAGTATTTAATTGAGTGTTAAATGACCACTGGTGGTTACAGTGACACAATAATGAACACACAGAAAACAAAAACTAATAGAAACCATAAAAAATAAACGCTGCAGTAAAGCCCACTGCCTGCACATGGTGGTGCAAGATGCAGATATTTCTTTGCCAGTAGGAGGCAAAACTCATGTGTCTACACCAGCAGGTCTAATCTGCAGTTGCTATTATTTTTCTTTCCTATAGGTGGCGTATGTTAGCTCGTGCAGAATCGGTCTAATATTGAGCCAAAAAGCTCCCCCTTGTGGAGAATCTGCTGCATAACGTGAATGAGTGAGTTTGTGAGTTACAAGCCAGTTTTATAAGTCACTTTGCATCTAATTAAAATAAAAAGCAGGTTGCATCCTGTATCATTACAGTAATAAAAGAGTGCTGAAAATTGCATTAACTAATCTTAACTCTAAGAATAACTTCTGGTCTAACCTCTAAATGACCACAGGCCAAACACAGATCCTGACCACACTGAGGCAGCCTACCACACTCTGACCAATCATTACACGCCACCATCAGCATACTCTCACAGTATTGGCTGGACAGACCTGTTGGAAAACAGCTGCAGCCAATGATGTGGAGAATAAAAGGAAATTATTTTTAGGGGAAGATTTTTCTTCATTTTGTCCTCACATCCCGGTAATGACAGAGGACTGATGGACTGGCTGGAGGGATACTGCACAAGATTCAGTCCACTGCTTTTACTTGACACACATCGACCGCAGCAGCTTTCACTGAACAGCCACACAGAGTGGCTTTTCTAAAAATACAACATGATAGATGACATGGAAGAGATGCTCAGATTCTCCCATTTGGTGTATTTCTGTGAACTCTGTGATTGTGTCCTGCTTGGTAAGTCGGGATGGAAAATTATGGATTTTGAGACCAGTATCCATTTTGTCTGTTTTATCTTATCCTGCCTGTTCATCCCTCTTTTTTTGCTGCATGCCATGTAGAATCTGACCTTTCTGAAGAAGCTAAACCTAGATGGCAACCAGCTGACCAGGATCCCAGCACTGCCGCCATCTCTTGAGGAGCTCAAGATTAACAACAACAAGCTCACTACCCTCACACCTCACTGTTTCAAAGGTAGGACGTGTCTGTGTACACGGGAGACGAGAAGTGTCTTGTATGAAAATAATGATAATATTATTTAGGTTTCCTTTCTAGGTTTGATGAACCTGTTGAATCTGGAGCTGGAGGAGAATACTCTCCATGAGGGAAGTGTTTCGCCGCTAGCCTTCAGACCCCTAGAGAGACTTCTGGACCTCCAGTTGGACAACAACCGCTTCAGTTCCCTCCCTCTGGGCCTTCCTCCCTCTCTTCAGGTGCACTGATATCACTTAACTGAATTCTGTAGGGAAAATCCTCCCCCTTAAAATGTCAGGATCAACTAAAAGACAGAATTATCTTGAGGGTCACTTCAGAAGAACTGGATGGCCCATGTCAGACATCCCTGTCTTTTCATATAGGAGCTGGAGATGAATATGAATCGGATTGAGGAAGTGACAGATGAAGCTCTGAGGGGCTGCGTCCATTTGAGAGTGCTGGACCTGAGTCACAACCTGCTGCATGAACAAGGCATCGGCCCCCACGCCTGGACCCGGCTCAAGTATGTCCATCCATCCACAG